CGCTTTTCCCCATTTTCTTCCTCCGAAGGGACTCTCGCTCTCTCTCTCTCTCTCTCTCTCTCTCTCTGTTCCGATCGATCGTTTCGTTCGATGGCGACGCGTTAATAAAGCACGAATAAAAAAAAAAGGATGAGGAGGAGAGGGGGGAAGAGAGAGAAAGAGAGAGAGAATCGAGTGGAGAAAAAGGAGAAAAGGGAGGAGAAGGAGGACCCAAAGGTCCCACGGATTTTTAATTGTTTCCGCGCGAGGCCGCGGCGTATTTGTTAAAGAATTAGCATTTCAAAGAACGATTTCAATTAAGGCTTAATTAATTTCGCGGAGAACGTAGGAGCCAAGTTGAGGCGCGCCTCGTTGTTCGCCTTACTTTCGACTTAATTGAAATCGAAGAATGAATTCTGCCAGTCGAAAGAGTCGGTGGAAGAGGAGGGAGTGGGGAAGAGATGGGAGGGGAGGGGAGGATTAGGGGAGTGAAAAACGAGAGAATTATTAAAGATCACCGGGACGAATGTTTCGATTTGCGTGGTTGTTATATTTAATGGAGGTTGACAGTTAAATGTTTTTCCATTTTTCTATTTCTTTTTTTTTTTTTTTTATTTTGATGTGTTCCAAAGTGTTCGACTAATTTCAAAACTTTTGATCGTACACTCGTTCGTGTGCAATTTGTCGATTAAAAAAATGGTGCATCGTGTGAAACGAAGGTAAAAATATCGGGACTAAAAAAGAAACATTTTTTTTTTTTATTTATATAAAAAACAAAATTTCAATCTTTTTAACGTTTCCGATTGATAAATTGACAAACGGCACTGGTCGTCGCCCCTTTCAAAAAAAAATTAAAAAAAACCACGATCTCGACAATAGCCTCGAACCACCGAGGTCGAGGTAGAATCATAATCGAAAAACTCGTCTACCACCCCCGTAATTCATCCACCGTGCCGTACAAAGGGTCTCTCGCCAGCCCTTGAAAACGAGGAGAGAGGGGGAGGGGAAAGGAAAAATAGGGAAGAACGAAAAAAAAGTGAAAGCGAAAATCTGCAAAACTGCATAAATCAAGGGAGGGAAAGGGAGAGGGAGGGGAGGGTGCGAGGAGACGCGCTCCGGCTGATTATCTTTTTCGAGGGTGGCGGGAAAAAAAAGCGGGGGCGGGCGCGGTGACGGGGCGTGAAAGGATTCGACGTTAACAGCGCCAACAACGCCGGCTCGCTGGAACAATGGTGCTGAATGGTCCCTGAAACGATTAGGTATTCCAATCGTCGCGTTAGGGGTCGCTGTGAAGTGCGGCAGAGAGAGAGAAAGGGGCTGGGAAGGGGCCGGCGGTAAGAGGGTGGCAGAACTCGCCCAATAAAATGGTAATTCCTGTTTGCAGAAGTTAACCATGCGAGCGAGCCTGGAGATTCGAGTCCATGCGTACTCCCTAACTCCAAAGACTAATAATACTCTCGGGGCCGAGAAGTGAGCTACCGACAGTGATATAGTTGTACGAAAGGACCGAAGACCGTGAAAACGCTTGTGTTGGCCGATAATCTTCGCGACTCTTGGAATTTTATGGATGGCGTTTTCGTATCGTGCGTGGATGGATCGAGTGGGGGGAACTCGATCATGTTGAAAAAAAAAAAAAAAAAAGTTTAAAAAAACAGGAAACTTTTCTCGATTAGCTATCAACAATTGCGGTGATTCGGGATAATAGGATAGGACCACGAGAAACAGAGTTTAATTTGGATAGTTATTCTAAATTTCGTAGAACGATTACTTTCTAAGAGGGATAATTAATTTGCCATCTGTTTGCACGATGATTAGGTTGAAAATCTTGGTTGTCGTAATTGTTTCACGCCGAATTCATCGGTCAGCAATAACGCGTATATATATCGCGTTAAGAGACATCATCGAGATTGAAGGCGACTGGTCTCCACGGCAATCTCTTAAGGGCTGAAATTGG